GCTGGCCTCAAAGGTGTACAAAATATGTTAATCTCCCCCGAGTCGGGGCTCGAGTCTGATGCTCGGCTCGGGTCCTGGGTGGTAATAAACTCCTATGTGGATTTAATATCGGTCTCTGGTTGGTTCTTTCTCACTAGGTGCAACACTTTTCTCTTCCTCCTCCTCCACTGGCCCATCCTCCCATCATTTTCTTACTGCCCTTCAAGCAAATCACTGCTTTCAAAGTATTTTCAGAGTCCCTGTGACCTTCTGGAAAAAATCCACACTGAAAAGGCTTTCAGCAAAATTGGCTTGGAACCAGGCAGGAGCCTGGACTGTCTCACATAAGACATTGCTGAGGGCCTTTGGGGAAGCTCTCTTTCCCCTCAACACTCATCCCCTGCTGATGGCCTCACAGCTCCCAAAACCAGCAGCCATGGAGTTGGCTAGGGTTTCTCAGACACTCAAGGGTTCCTGTGAAGAGTCAGGCTTGAATGTGATTTACAGGATCAAAGTGGCAACAGCTTATGTGGTCTGATGGCCAGGGCCAGATTCCCACTGCCACTGGACCCCAAAGCCGTATTTAAGTACCCCTAGGGAAAAGTGGGTGACAGGGTTTCCTGATGGAGGTGAATTTTCTTTAATGTAGCAGAAATGGGCTTCTAGTTAGGATGAGATTCAGTCTTAGAAAAATATCCCAGAGAGAGAGTCTACCTCCCCTAGGGAATAAGAACGGAGAATTTTGCATCCCACTTCTGCTTCTCAACTACCCGTGTGTGGCAGGGAAAGTGACATGAGTTCCTTGTATTTTAGTTTTATTCACCTGAAAAGTGACTCTGATAGTCCGTACCTCAGAGAGGTGTTCAGCTACCACACTCCAAACAGTTGATGTTTGCAGCACAACAATGCCAGCAGCAGGAAGCACCCGGCTCTGTGGCCGGCAATCCACACATGGTATTTTAGGGTTGATCGGCTAGCAGGGGAATAAACTTCATTGCATCCCTGAGTTTCCTTGGTGTTGATGCACCCTGAAGTGACACCAAGGCCGCGCAGATCGGGTTTGTGTCACCAGCCTCGACGGCATATACCTGGCATCCTGGAGAAGGTCTCACTGACTTCTAAGAGCGAGTGCTCTTCCTTCCCTGAACTCACCACCCACACCAGATTTCCTTGTGACTTCCACACTGACGGCGGGCTCAGGAGACAGTAGCGGGCTCAACACAGGGAGGACCACTGCACCTTCCAGAGGAACCCGGATGGGCAGTCTCATGGCCTTGGAGCTGCTCACTTTCACTCCAAATCCATCGAAAATGCACCTGCCTTAACTATTCTAAAAATGATGGTCCAGCTTGGCATGCGGGTACACACTGCACTGATAACCCCGGCCTTCTAGGAGGCAGGAGGATGAAAAGCCCAAGCGCTTTCTGGGCAGTTTAACAACTCAGAGAGCCCTTGCCTCAAAAAGCTGGGCGGTGGGACTGGGAACATAGTTCAGTGCAAAGGCTTGGGGTTCAATCCCCAGTATAGAATAAAAGGTCTGCCACAAAATCTGTCCTTGCTGCTTATACATCCTTCTGGCTACTCAGGTTCTGCGCTTCTCCCATGGACACAGGCTGTAGAGCTTAGATCTACCTGGAGATTTAAGACAGGCTTCGTAATTACAGGTGTGGGGATCACAGTACCTTTGCATGTCACTCAGGCTACATCTACACAGTTCTAGAGCGTTTCTATGATTGCCCTAGGTTTTTTGCTAATTTTGGGAGGAGAATGGAGTCAGTCATTGAAGACAAGTCGTAGCTACAAATTTAGATGAGAGTTGCATAGAAATGTGAATAATTTGTTTTCAATAAAAGTGATAATAACTAATTTATTAAGCATTTTCTAGGTACCAGGTATGTTTTAAGACCTTAGCAAGCACTGTATCTGCGGGTTCTATATCCATGGTTTCAAACAAAGAGTAAATAAAATATTTTTAAAGTTACATCTTTACTGAACATGTGAAAAAAATTTTCTTGTCATTATTCCTTAAACAATATAACAAGTATTTAATAGCATTTACACTGTGTTAGATATTATAGGTAATCCAGAGGCGATCTGAAGTATAGGGGGGATTATGTACGTTATATGTAAGTGCTATGCCATCTTATTAAAGGGACTTGGTGTCCACAGGGCTCGGTATTAGGAGTTCTGGAATTCATCCGCCACCGATATTAAGAGGCAACTGGATCAATTCATGTGATGCTTGACATATTCTTATAGATGAGGAAACTCACGTTTGGAGACTGCGGGAAGCCAGGACGCAGCTAGCAGGACGTGGGCCGGGCCGGCTGAGAGCTTGCAGCCCCACAGCCCCCGAGGCCGAAGGAGTCAGCAGGGTGGCGGGGAACCCAGATCCGACGGCCAGCAGCGTTTCCTTCCGGCAGGAAACGGTCCTGTTTTTTGAAGGGAACAAGCTTAACTTTACACGCTTACTACTCCAGGGGGAGAGTCCTGTGTTTTCTGACCCGCTCGCTGGAGACCCTCCGCTCCCCCTAGGGCGCTGCTTCCCTGCTGGAGCTGAGCAGCCCGGACGAGACCCTCGCCCGGCCGGCGTTTTCAGTCCTCTCCAGCCCCTGCCACTCACCGCCCGCCTCAAAGCTGGGTCGAGCTGCTCTGTCCTTAAATCCTCACGTACAGCACTGCGGGTTCCAGACGGTTCCGGGCCTGATCACACCGGGAGAAAGCTCGGCACGCGGAGGTTGCCATGGCGACCGCGAGGCGGGCGAGGCCGCGCAGGCGGCGGCGGGGTTGGGGGGCGGTGGCGGCAGAAGGGAACCGGGGCATCGCGCCCAGGCCGGGTCCAACCCGACCGAGCATCTTCCGTTCTCACGGGACGTTCGCCGCCGCTTGCTGGCCGCAGCCCCAGTGCACACGGAGACTGCGGAGGCGCCGCGGCCCGGGCTGCCCTGGGGTTCCCGGGCGGCCGAGGGCGCCTCCTTGTGCACGCGATCGTCCTGCAACAGCACGGGGAAAGCAGCGAGGTTGCCCTGTGGCCCGAGGCGCCTGGGAGAATAGGGAACAAGAGTACAGGTGCCCGTCGGCCACAGCTCCGTGTGCCCTTCCGAGGACAGCGGCGCAGGAAGCCCGGGGCCCATGCATAAGCACGCAGTTAATACTGTGATTTAATGCTCTGAGGAGGGAAGGGCAAATTCAGACACGGCGATCTGAACTCAAGGGGAAGTGAGGGAACAGCGAATCGTCCGCGTCAGTCCTAACGGGATTCCGAGGAGGGCTGAAGGCACAGGCCCGAGGAGCCAAGCTGCGCCAGCGTGTGCAGGCGGAAGCCCCGTACCGCGTCACCGGACCTCGACCGCCCCCCGCTGGTACTGCACCCTCTCCTACCTGGGCGGCAGAGGTCCCAGGAGAGACCGCGTCCCGTCCCGGCCGCCTGGCCTCCACTTTCTTTCCTCCTCCTCTCCTCAGCCCAGTGCCTTCTAGGTGTCAGGCGCCTCACGATTCACACCCAGCTCCAGTTCCGGGCACGCAGACTGAAACCCTCCCCGGGCCGCCGGCAGGAGAGCCTGGAAAAGGCCCAGCGCACCCGGAAGTGGGGCTGCCGGGATAAATCAGGCTTCCGCGTGGTGTGGTCCGCTGCGGGTGGTGCTGGGAGACAGGGCCCTGGCCTCAGGTTCTCCACCAGTGGCGAGCAGCTTGGAAGTTCAGCATCTTCGAAACTGTGCTGTGCCCTGTGCTCCCCTCGCCACGTTTGCAGAAAGCGCCTCTATGACGAGAGCGAGTCTGCATGAGGGCAGGAGAGGGACCAGGGGCAGGTGAGTCGTCTGCCACCCACCGCACCCCACCATCTCGACCCTCTTCAGACCACACCCACCATTCGAGGTCACGCGTGCTGGTACAGAACACCTCCGCCTGACATTTCAGACTTAGCCATTTGCCGTTGTTCACCTTGCTGCAGAAGCAGGAGGATGGGCATGACAGAATTAACTCAGTTGGTGTTGTATTCGTGCTCCCATTTTTCCAGTGGCTTATCAAGCCACTATGCTGTCTTTAAAAAAAATACTTTTCCATAGAGATATCTTTAAAATCATGTATGTAGCGTGCCTTCTCGGATGTCTTCCCAGTCTCATTTCTACTCCTGTTCCCTTCGGTTAAGAGAGTGAGACCCGAGCTGAACCTCCAGTCCACACAGACACCTCGCTCTGGCGCCCACGAAGCACTCGGGACCGACCAGGTGGGCGAACCTCGATGAGCCTCTCCGCCAGCCCTGCACTGGCTCGCTAAGGCTGCCATAACAAAACGCCACAGACTGGGCAGTTTAAAAAAGAAAGACGTATTTTCTCCCAGCTCAGGAGGCTGGAAGTCCAAAATCAAGTCTTTGGCAGGTCTGGCTTCTCCTATGGACCCTCTCCCTGGTTTCCAGATGCTACCCCCATGCTGTGCCCTTCCCTCTGTGTTTCCACAATCCGGGCTCTTCTTCCTCTTCCTATGAGGGTACTAGGCATTGGGTCAGGGTGCCCAGGGTCACTCACCCCCTTTTAATGTAGTGCCCTCTTTAAAGAGCCTATACAGTCCCATTTGAGATACTGAGGGCTAGGGTTGCAACATGGGAATTGGGAGGGGGCACAAGTCAGCCCATCATACTTCCTCACTGAAAGAAGATGTTTAATGTAACATCAATAATTAAGGTAAGATACACTCATAAAAATTGCCCCAACTGAAGAAAAGCAGGACTGAGCACATACAAAATATGCCATCACCTTAACTCCTCTACTTTCAGTCTCTCCATCCCTGGAGCACATGTTTTGAGGTGGCCATGCCAAGGAGGGAAGAGTAGAAGCAATGGGTAACACTGAGCAAAGAAGGGGAGTCACTAACACATCCTGGCACCCTGTAATTGAATAACTGCCTAGTCACATGTCTTTGTAACTCTCCTCACTGCTGAGCACATCCTCCCTAAGGTTCCTGTTTCCTTGGAGGGTACTATTTCTTCAGAAACAGTTTCTGGCCATCTGCCATTCACTTTTTTAAATAAGGTTCCATCCTTTGGCATCTGTTCTTGTCACTCTCAAGCTGTTCCTAGGTCACCCTTGTTACACGGCTTCAACTAGAACTCAGATGCACACGGCTCCTGATCTGCGTCCTGTGACTTGCTATGTCCACCACACCCCACCCCCTGCGATGACACAGGAACCGTCACTCAACGTAGCCAGGACTGTGTGAATCAGCCTCCCTCCCAGCTCTGCTCCTTTATGCACCCCGAGTGTGCCTATACATACAAGTCAGAAAGGAAGGGCTGGAGAAGTAGTTGGCTGGGAGGTGACACGTGGCCAGGCATGGCAGGGTGAGAGACTGGAGGAGGTGGAGGTAGATTGCTAGAGAGGGGGGAGGGAAGGAAGGGAGAGGCCAGGCTCCTGGAAGAGGCACTTGTGGTCAGGATTCCGTGGAGCACCAGGAAGGGAGCTAAGATGGGAAGAGGTAAACCTTGGGGAACTGTGAGGGCAGATGCAGGAGGGGCGGTCTGAGGACCCAGAACTCGTGTGAGGAAGGGGAAGTCACTGAGGTCACATGAGGGGCAGAAGGTCCTTGTCTTCCCTTCCAAGCCAGTGTGGGGAGTGTGCAGAGTAAGCAGCTCTGTGTGCAGGAGGCTGCAAGGGGCCATAGTCTCAGAGGAGTGAAACAGTAAAGGAACCTGCAGAGAGGTGGTTAAGGAAACAGGGATTTTACCCGAGACTGAACATGATCCCAGGGAGTACCGGGCAGTGGGAGGTGGGTTGGGGTGGCAGATGTGTGAGGCCCACAGGTTGGCGAGCGACACCAAGTCCAGGACTTCTGGTAGAGACTTCCGGTGGAGCGCACTGTGAGATGCCTCTGGTGGTCTCCAGAGAGACAGTGGTTGTAAAACTTTGGGGGAGGGGGCAGGAAACAGGGTTCTTTCCAGGGATGGGTAGAGATTCGGGGTGACCACTAGCTGGGTGAGGTTGGGAGTGGGAGAGTCAGCTCCCTGAGTAGGCATCTCCTAAGCAGGCAGTGGTGGCAGTCGGGGACCAGATTCTGGCTGGAAGCGCCTGCAGCATCCTGATGGACACCCTGGGTTCCTCCTTGCTCCTCTCTTAACCACCTCCAGGGCTGCTTTGCTCCACCCTGAGCTCCAGCCTTGGGGCACCCACAAGCCCCCCGCTGCTGCTTGGGGACCTGCAGGAGAGTTCATAAGACCCACAGGCAGGGAGGTGAGCTGTTGCCATCCCTGAGGTGGGGTGCGGCCGAGCTGAGGTCACCCTCCTCGTGTCCCGCTCTGGACTCCCTCATCGTGGCCATGCCTACGCTCAGTTTTATTGTTTTTGTCATGGCCAACATAGTGTACATTTATCTTATAATTTCATAAAGAAGTGCCCACCCCTTGCCTCTTCTTAGGAAAAAGTCTTTTGTATGACCACTTAAAAATAAAAAAATTATAATGGATAAGTAAATTTTCTTATACTTATTTAACAACCTAGTAACCAGAAGTAGAATTTAAATTTCCTACAAGTAACTAAAATTCAAATATAACCTGAGGAGAATGCTATTTTACAAGGTAGCAAACTAAGGACAGAAGAGCAGCCCATGTCAAATCGCCTTTCTGTTCTACATGGGACCCAGTTCAGGTTTTTAGTTGCATAAAACTTCGCTTGTTCTCTGTGGGTTTTTCCCATACTTGGTTCCTTCATCTAATAAATCCAGCTGTTCCTTGCTCCTGGGCAGGACCATATCTCTGCCCAGAGCTATGCTGTGTTGGAGAGGTGAAGGGGTCCAGCCTTGCTCCCCCACAACACCTAGAACTGTCTGAGATCCAATGCAGAGCCGTCATCCCGGAAACATCTCAGCATCCGGCTGAAAGTCATAAGGAGAACAGTCCTAGGGATCTTCAGACTCAACAGGATAAGAAGGTTCTGCGGACACCTTCTGCCCCATGAGTGCAAGGACCCGAGTTCGATACCCAGTACCAAAAGATAAAAAAGAAGACAGTTCTGGGGAGTCAGGTTCTGTGCATCAGTATTAGACCTTGTAGCTCTCTCCCCTTGCTACTCACAGACCGTGTAGCTCTCTCCCTTTGCTATGGTTTGCTTGAGAGTCCCCCGCAAGGCCCATGTCCTAAAGGCTTGGCGCCCAGCCTTCAGTGCTACTGGGAGGTGGTGGAACCTTTGAAAGATGGAGCCCAGAAGGAGGAAGTTAGGTCACTGGAAGTGTGCTTTTGAAGGGGACATCAGGACCCCAACCTCTTCCTCCTCCTCCTTTTTCACTTCCTTGCCTCTGTGAGGACAGCAACCTCCTCCACCCTGTGCTCTCACCAATGTGCTACCTGACCACAGGCTCTAAACCAACAGGTTGACCATAGACTGAAAGCTCCAAAACAGTGGTACAAAATAAACCTTCCTGCTTATCAGTTTATCATCTCAGGTGTTTTACTAATTAACAAAGCTAATTAACACACCCTTAAAAATCACACAGAGTTGCTAGGGAAGCAAGAGCTGTTGGGCCTCACCTCAGCAGATGGGTCTACATCAGGCAAGATGTGCTGTGTTCAGGGTCAACACTGCGAGCGCCAACCCTGTCCTCCTGCACAGAGAAAGATCATGTGAGTCGGCACATACAAAGCCTCTGGTTCTCTCTGGCCTCTCTGCGCTATATGGCTCAGCAATAAATGACTTCCTCCAAGATTAAACTCATAAAATTAAATCCCTTACTTAGGAAAACTCTAAAACCAGCTCAGGCATTGCTCCCAGGAACGTTTGCATCGTGGGCTGAAAGATCGGATTAAGTCCAGGCATCCTGAGCTGATCTGGGCCAGACCCTGAGAGAAGCCCAGGGGGCAGGGGGTGGGTCGAGACACAGAGGCGATGGTGCCCACTGCTGGGAGGCTGAAGCTGAGTGTGTGAGAGGAGCGACTGACTGCAGCCCTCAGGTCACTGCACTGCTGGAGGCGCTGGTGCAGGGTCGGGGATTTGGGGACCTCTGGGCAGGGCAGACAGGCTTCCTTCCTCCTGATCCTGTGCCACTTGTGTGATAACCTGTTGTTTCTGAAGCTTCTTTTCGATGTGCTCCATACTTGTCCCGTGGGCCATCCTTGCTGCTTTGATAGAGGCATTGGCCTTTTCTTCTGCCTCTTGGTTTGGCTTGAGCTCTTCTGTGCCTGATGTTTCTCAGGAATCTTATTTCTGCAGTCATTTCGGCCAAACTGTTACTACAAGCCAACTTACGAATGCAACTTTCCTCCTGTCCCAGGGGAGCCACCAAGCTCTTCTCTGATAAAGTCTAGAAAAGCTTCTAGAGCCACCGGTAGGATAGGATAGGCTGAAATGTCAAGTCCGTCAAGGGTCCAGGAGATATCCCTGAAGGCATGTCCTTGTGTGACAAATTAATGTGACCCAGGGGACAGGGAGCAGTCCCCACTGTGCACTGCACCTACACATAGAAGCCAAAGTGTCCCCATACTGCTCCTGAATTTTTTGGAGGCTGAGTTTCACAGCTGCTGTTAGTTCTCTAGTGATGTCCCTGACGGTCTGAAACTCAAGCTGGACCATAGGTTGCTTCTCTTCATTCATTAAAGGCTTGGTTTCTACCACCATCCTTACACTGCTTCATTTATTTGATACGTGACAAATGTAGGTTCACCACTGGTTCCCTTGGCTTTTTGTAATCACGTCATCCACTT